GTGGGTTTCAGTGTGTCAGATTTGACACAGCTCCCCTTCAGTAGCTGTGGGCTGCAGCTAACCACCCACACACCCCCACTGGGGAGCGACCGTCTTCTTCAGATCCCCTTCAACAACTTGACAACACTGATCACTCTCATCATCGTCCCCTCCAGCACTCGGTAGGGATTTACAGCCTGAAGCATCTGATTGGTCAAAGCCTGACTAATCAGATGAAAGCTTACAAATGCAGCTGTTTTACTGAAACAGCAACACGACGCATGTAGAAACTGCAGCTTCTCTGTGTTGGAGAAAATACTGCAAACTACCACCAAAAGTTTCCACATTTGATGACACGCACAATTGGAGGACTAGAATCCAGTGCTTACTGCGCCTGGAGACACTGTCATGTTTCATCTCTGCACCAGTGACCAACACAGGAGCCATGCCCCGTCAATCACAAACTGACACATCCACGCTTGCATGCCAAAAGGGACAAGGCAGCGAATTACGGGATTTGTGCATCTTTGAATAGACATCGAAGAACATACTGTATCTGTGAGGCTGCTTAATGGGAGCACGCTCAATGGAGACGCTTGCAGAACAAAATTAATTTGTTTCCCAGGATGTGTAATGTGCAGGAGATGAAAAATGTTCGCGCACATAAACCCAATTAACTGCTCAAACAAAGAAATCCCTTCCTCACCCTCTTAAAATGTGAGTAATGCAGACCTTTGCGCCAGTTTATGGTGTGATTATAATTTAGGCCACCTCCTAAGCAGCGCTCGCAAACTGTGTCTCTTTTGTGCAGCGCTGGCTTTACGGCCATGGAATCTCAGAGGAAGAAAAGAGCCAGTGTCATGTGGTCAGAAGGCATTTTAGTCAGACAAAAATTTGTGTCAGCACTTTCTGCCAGGGAGCGAGAGGCCAGCGTTCAGAGCTGTTAGCCCCCTTCTCAGAGGAGAGCCAGGGTTTAATGGGACTACTCTTCCACTCCATTTGCCGGCCCGCATCTCACAGGCCACAGCTGCATGCATGTGAGCCAGCGACTGTCACTCTGCATACCTCTGCAGCCGGCGAGCTCCACACTCCCTTTAACAGCTGACAGAAGTTGTTCATCTTCAGACACACTCTTGACTACAGACATAATGTGTGTGGAGGAGACAATGTTAAACCCTGGTAAAGAGACTGCAGAGGTCACTCACTCCTTACTTAATTTACTGGTCAAGGAAATAATTTTACCAACTCCCGGTGCTGCTGTGGTCATATTCATTCTGATTTAGGCCTTGCGCAAAAAAAAAAAAAAAACTTCTTATAAAATGACTTTGGATCTATTTCAGACCCAAACAACAATTTCATGGCTGGCCAGTCACAGAGTAATTACATATGGCCTCAAGCCGGCACATCGATCAGTACTCGCGACTTAAAAATGAGACTATTTTTGACAGACAGCTTCTTGAAGAGATGACAGCACCTCCACCGCACGCATTGTGAATATTCACAATTAAAACTGAAACGGGTAACATGAAACTATTTTCTAATGATAGAGTTTTTCCTGGGCAAACAGCTAGAGTTATTCTGCAGTACCAACTCCCCTCTCTGCTCTCTCAGAAAGATGAATCACTATTACGTGTAAAAGGTCAATCCTCCAAGGTTGAGCAGTTAGCAAGTTGTCAGGGTATTAGTGGACCAGTCTTTTACAAGAAGTCTCTTGAGCTTAAATTAATGTACAAAAATTGCAAATGGAAAAGTAAAAGTGATTTCTAGTCAGTTTCTACCATCACATTAACAGCTTCATGTGTTTGATGACATGTAGCACTTTTAACAAATTATGAAGCATTATTACGGTATATTTAAGACACTGCTGGATATGCAAACATGCTTCTTTTTTTTATGAAATCTTAAAACAAGTTCAAGGCCCACAAAATGGAGGATAAAATGCCAGAATGAAATTGATTTACACCTTAATCTAAAAAGGTTAAAATAATTATTTTAATAAGGTAGACATCCCAATATTATGATAGAGACAGTTCACACCAAAATCCAAAGTACATATTTTTCCTCTTACCTATAGTGCAGTTTATCAGTCTATATTGTTTGGTGGAGTTTCAGAGTGTTTGCGATGTCGGCCGTAGAGATGTCTGCCTTCTCTTTAATATAATGGAACTAGATGCCAAAGAAATACATTTGAAATACTCAACAGTATTGTCTTTTTCCAGAAATCATGACCTGGTTACTCAAGGTAATCCACAGCTGTTTCATGTAGAACTATTTTCTTTCAACCAAACTACACCAGCCAGTTGTATTACTGCGTAGAAGGAAGCATTCATATACCGCTGGCTTACTTAGCAACACTGAGCTAGCTATGGTTACAGCTCAGGTCTGGTGGGAGCTTGCTAGTGGTGCTGCTAATTCGGCGCTTAAAGGGAAATTTCGATTTATTTCAACCTGTCTCCTATCGTCCTAAATTTGTTTCAAGTGACTAGTGACATAAAAATAATAGTTAGCATGTTAGCCGTTAGCCTAGATACAGCCGGGGCGCATAGTAGAGTCAGACCTGTTAAAACGTAAGTGAACGGGCATACCTTCAAGTGCAAAGTTAGTCCACTAAACAAGCTTTTTTCCACAAAGACCGCCTCATATCGTTAGGATAAATGTCAGAGAACATATAGAAAACGACATGTAAACGTGTTGTCTTACCTTACCGGTGTGCTGCCATGTTTGTTTATCCCTCTAGCTCTGCTTTCCAAAGCACGGCCGAAATATCGCGAGAACAAGCAGCGATCTCATATCGTGCCTGAATAAGCAGCAACAGCTGGAAGGCAGAACCAGACAGTAGCCTGAAAAGTTCATTCATTTATTTTATGAAAGATTTACAGAATAATGGCTGACTTTTTGCCAGACTTCGACTTTGTGGAGGAGGAATTCAATTTTGCAGTGTGATGGCCGCCCTTATTTATTTGAGCCAGAATACACTGACGAAGAGCTTCGTGAAATTGAAGAACGGAGGGGAGAGAGAGAGGCGCAACAGGTAGAGGACGAGAGAGGAGGAATGGCTGCTGCAAGGCTGCGTAGCTCTGGAGACTGGTGGTGTACCTGTGAATGCTGTGCCCCAGTGCCCACAGAAGAGGAATGCTTCTGTTGCAAGGAATGGGACCGGTTGCAGCCTTATTTTCAAGGTCTGGATGTGACAGAGGACGAGACACCTCCACCTGGAGTAGTATCCAACTGGGCTTTATCTAGAGCTGGCGAGATATATTTCGGCTGCGCTTTGGAAAGCAGAGCTAGATGGTAAACAAACATGGCAGCACACCGGTAAAGTAAGACAACATGTTTACATGTCATTTTCTATATGTTCTCTGACATTTATCCTAACGATATGAGGCAGTCTTTGTGGAGAAAAAGCTTGTTTAGTGGACTACCTTTGCACTTGAAGGTATGCCCGTTCACTTACTTTTTAACAGGTCTGACACTACGGCTGTATCTAGGCTAACGGCTAACATGCTAACTATTATTTCTACGTCACTAGTCACTTGAAACAAATTTAGGACAATAGGAGACGGGATGAAATAAACCGAAATTTCCCTTTAATGCTAGTAACGTCGTCTCAAACCAACAAAGTTGATGTGCAATCCTTGTGCCCACCCTCTGGTCTTCCTCCAGGTCGCCATGCAAATTCCCTTTAGCACTTTTAACTATGCTATAACTGTTAGCTCTGTTGGCACCATTAGCAGTGTCAACAAGGTTAGAGGTGCTTACATACATTAGTTAACAATGTTAAAGGGGTTTGAGGCTTAAAATGGAGCCACACTTGCAGCACTCACAGAAGCTACCTAGGGGGGACACTGGAGGGTGGCCACCATGTTTCTGCAGCAACACTGTCCTGATGATGGTAACAGCAGTAATCTCAAATGAGCAGTGCTGCTAGCTAGCTTCCACCCAATGCAGACAATGCACAGCGCAGCGGCCTAGGCTAACGTTAGCTAACCACTAGAGACCAGACAGTGGTCAGTGAGTATTATGTTTTTGCATTTTAACGCAGGTGTCTGGACATCTGTCAGCAAATGCAACAGAAAATAGAATAAAAGACATTCACATCACAAAATTTCACCATCTCTGATTTTATAACACTTTAAAATGGGGTGCTAAAGCTCACTGAGGTACTGGAGCACCAGGCTAAATGGAAAGGCCAATTGTATTTCATGATATTTTGCATTCTTTTCATAAAAATTGACAGATTAGGTTGATGGTTGATGAAAACTGGTATTCCTCTCAATCATGAGTAGATGCATGCTTCCCTCTGCACAGTAATACAGTTGGCAGGTGTAGTTCAGTAGAAACAAACTGCTCTCAACAAGGTCTGTGGAATACCTTGAGTAACTGGGTCATGATATCTGGTTGCTGCTGCGTGTTACAAATGTATTTTTTGGCACTTTGAGCACCACAAGTCGAGTGCCATATAGTTCCATTACAGTGGAGAGAAGACAGACATCTCTACAGCTGATATCTCCAACACTATGCAATTCACACCAAAACAATTTAGACTGACAAATCACACTACAGGTAAGAGGAAAAATATGTATTTTTGATTTGGGGGTGAACTTTCCCTTTAAGGTCGGATCCTCTTTAGGTGTTGTGATAGAATTATTGTCCTTAAATCTTGAGAATTATGATTCCTATGATGTATTTTGATTTTGGAGTGCCCCTCCCTGATTGGCTACTGTATGAATTCAGTGGTTAAAATAGGAAAGAGAAATAAACACAGAAAGAACAAACAAAAGTTTTGTAAGTTCAGAATCGCAGCACAAACAACAACTGTGCTTTCACTGAATGCTTTCCAGAAAACAAATGTTAAAGAATGTAAATGTATTCTTGTCCTTGGCCCACTTGCAAAACACAACGTTAACAATGAATCTTTTGTTACTTCACATGATGACCTTGCTGTGATGCATTAATAGGTGAAAAGAGGTCCCGGCTATATAGGTTGGTTCAAGTGGCATGAAACTTGAGAGGTGACTCACCATGAGTAGACAGCAGGCAGGTCTCCAAATCCGGCTTTGAGGGCAGTGAGGCGCTACATTTCGCTGGGCTGAACCACAGTCCCGATCCCTCTCCAGAGGGGACACCCAACAGTTCTCTACAAAGCCAACCACAGTGACAGAAAAAACTTTAACTCAAGGAGAGCAGTGGACTGAGAGAGTCTTATATTGACACACAGCAGAAGAGGCAGAAGCAATTTGACATCCGGCTCAGTGGCATGGAGAGTCAATGCAGTGGACTGTTGCTGCTCGCTCTCTTCACTGTGGATGATCTTTTTCCAACAGAGAACACAAACAGTGGTCGCTGATGCAAACAACGCCGTTTGGGGTGGCTACAAGGGCTGGTTGTCAAAGGGCAGACTGGGACAGTAGACATGTTGTCACCCTCTTCAGGGGGAGGATCTGACATAAAGTGCTGCTTTCAGAGTTGAGATGTAGAGCCACATAGTCCCTAAACACTCTAACCAAATGTGTCATTCTGTCATTAGGTGGTGAGTTAAGGATCTGGGGGGCTGAAATGTCTGTGTTAGAGTCATGTGTTTAACACTAAAATGAGCAGGGAAATGGAGGGATGCAAAACCAAAATATTATGTTTGGGTTGCTTCCTTCTCTCACAAGACCAATTAGCAATGCCAATTAGTCTAGAACCTCTTAGTTCATTTTTAGATTTGAGCAAAGGTATGATTTTTAATACTGTCAAAAATACAGATGTTCATCTTTCAATTAAACTCATATGGAGAGGCTGTATTGAGGATGTATTGTATGTAGTTCACATCACGCACCACCAGAGGTCAGTCTGTACAGGCCGCTGAGCTGGCAAATATGGCAACAGCAAGTGCTGGGAATAGGTAGTGTGGCACACAAATACCTTATACCGTGGTGAAACTTTGGGAAAGTACTAAAGTAACCAAAAATAGATACTGGCCAAGCCTAGCTTACTCTATGCAAACCCACTGTCATTCCGAGGCTGTCAAATACCGACACTTTGTCACGCTCCTTGACGTCTCAAAGTGATGCACAGGCTAACCTTTAGCCCAGTGATTCCCGACTGGCCCAGTCACAGGTTCAGATTTCTCCTCAGTCATTAGTTCAAAGTCCACGCGGTTTAATATATTCAACATCAAACTTGAGCTGTTTTGTTGTCTCTGTCTTGTTTTACAGTTACTGTTTTATAAACTTGACATGTTTAAAAGTTGCTTGCGGTCCATTCAGAAAGGACCCATGATCCACTTTTGGATCGCAACCCACCAGCTGGGAGCCACTGCTTTAGCATGTGACACACAGCTGAAACACACTGTAACACAGTTAATGTTGTGAAATGGTCACAGTCACCTTTAGGCAACAAAACTACTTGGTCAAGTTTTTTAAAAAACATACTTTTTTGGGGTTAAATAACTACGTTTTTTACGTGACGTAATGTAAATACATAACGAGTGATGTGAGTGTGTGATACCAGTGCATAAATTGGGTGATGTTAAGTTAAAACTGTAGACTTTTGGTGCTGGACATGAACTGTGATCTCCTGAAAGTCCAATCCTGTTTGACCCATCCACCTCCCCTCCCTCTATTTGCTCTTTATACTATGTCAGTTGTTTGTCAGCATCTAGTATTGCCACACATGGTTTTACAGTGGAGTTAGTTGAAAACCCGGTGCTTCGATGTCACAACGCTGTAACACCTGCGAGCCAAATGTTGTCACACATTTTGCATTAAGTGCAAAGGCTCCACAAGTTGTTAGTCATCATATCAAACCAATCCCATTTTAGATAAACAGTTGTGATTGGTCAGCTTGGGTGGAAATCAGTCTGAACAGGACGGAGAACAGACGTATCTGCCAGAGCATATAAAACATGAGCTTAAAAATGTGTCCAGATACCACACTATTTTTTTTTTGTAACAGTCTATTAAAAGATATTAGACATTATGCATCTAATTTGGTATCATACCTAGTCCAAAACATTTGGCCATCCAAATCTTTCATGCTCTCTTTCATCATGTTATAAACTGCAATAAAACACACAATGCCTCAAAATAATCTCTATAAAGATTGATTGGTTAGAGCTGCATTGGCGCACAGAAACAAATGTTCAGGTTTTCAGGCAATTACATAAACACAAGAGGCAGTTACGTTGCTCTGGACAATTAATTAGCCCACACTTTCTGAAAGAGGACATTATTTGGTTTAAAATTAAGTTATCCAGTTTTTGTTAAACAAACAACAACACTAAAAAAAAAATGTCTCCCAGTGTAATTCAACAAATTCATTCAAGCTTCCCAGTCATTGCACTGGCCCTCAATGCTCCCTCTGAAACATCCTCCAGTGTCAATGCAGCCGATTCCCTCATATTCATAAAGGACAACAACTAAGACACAGCGTCTGAATGTCATTGCTGCACAAAAGAAATCTTCAGACAAACAGCAACACAATAATCAAGTTTCCTCAAGGGTGTCACACGGACTTGATACTTTTTTTTTTCATTTTCTAATTATAGTTTGCACATTGCTCTCTGTGGGGAACACTTTATAAGACTTAATCTGAATTTCACACTGAGTTGCCAACACATTAATTAAGCCGAGACAACCAATGGGAGTCTAAATAAGTTACAGCAATAATAATGAGAAGCAGCGAGAAAGTCATATCTCCATCATTCTCAGTTTGATTCTCAGAGTTATTTTTTGTTCGGGGCTTTGCAGGCTCGGATGGGGAATTTAAATAGCTTCTGTGAAGCCTTGCTTTGGGTAACATTGGGCTTTTTTAATTTAAAGTGAATAAAATCCCGCACACTGATCTTTTAATGAAATGCCATCTCCTCAATCAAACACACATACACACCATTTTTTCTTGATTTGCCCGGATTAAATGTCTGAAAAGGGTTGGATGGGTGAACAGGTTGTAACATAACTTAAAATCAGACTTTCCCTGACTTCTTCATTGCCTCTAGCAGCCTGTGGATTGACTCCTACGTAAAGGTATTGAGGCTGAATTCAAGGGCTGCGACGTTATGCATGTTCTCATGTGTCTTGCCTATCATCAGCTTCGCTACAGCAATAACAGTGTGCAAAAGTAGCTAACATTAGCTAAGAAATGGGGTCCTATCATCTACAAACAAACAGCACCTGCCACAACACAGAGCCCACACATGCTGTGTTTCCGTTATATTCTTTCTGCAGTGGCAGCCCGGGGGAGACGGACCTTCACTTAGCACCCTGTAGCAATCACCCCAGGGCTGGGGTTTGCATTGCCTGAATTCAAGTTGCTACAGCAGCTAAGTTCTGAGCTGCTGTTTAGTCTATCATAAAGCTATTATAATTTAAGTGTCCCTCGGTGCCGAAAAGAAATCCTAACTTTAGGGAAAGCACTGACATGTGAAATATATTTTGATAATGTGGTTTAAGCTGGATAATATTAGCCAACTCTTGCTTGCTGACGCGGACAAATTGCTAGCTAGCTAACATACTAAAAAACTCTCCTGGGTGATAAACGTCATTCAATTCATCCAGACTCCAGGGCTGATATTGCTGGTAAATGACCTATTTGCCACAACTTTATCAGCTAACGTTACGAAGGAACCAACACCATATCAGTGCAGTGTACCTTAGTCAGACCTACAGCTAGCTGGCTAACATAACTTGCTTGCTTGCTAACGTTATCGCTAGCAAAATACTGTGGACTGGGTATCAGTTCGCTAGCTTGCCAAATTACTTCCCAAGCTAACGTGGTACATGATACTAACTTATGTATTATGACAATTAGTGTTGATTTAGCCAACAATAAAAGATGAAAGTTTACTGTACAAAGTGCTTTGTAACGTTACTAACATTAGCCAAGAGCGATGCAGTAACTGCCAACGAGCTAACCATAACCTGAGCTAATGTTAGCCAGCTAGCTGTAATGTAATGTAATGTAATTCTACATGGTTGTTTGTAACGTCAAACGTCAGCTGATAATGTAATCTGCAAAGAGTAAACCATTTGTTATTATAGAGCCAATGGTCCAAATGAAATATAGAAACATGCTGATAGTAATGTTACTCTAAATATGATTCATATTTACTTTACAGTCATCTATTAACAGAATGATGCTCAATCACTGTCAGACTTGTGTTTGTCACTGTTTTGGCCAATGCCCAGTTGCTCACTCACGGCGGTTGAGTAAAAGCCCCAGAGAGCGACCAGACCGCGGTTCATCCCTCAGAGGGAGGCGTCACTATTAACAAGGATTTTCAAAACGTTACATACAAAACCTTAAATGGAGAAGACAGATAATTGGTTTGGGGTTAAAAACAGAAAGACATGCAACATTTTCCAAGGTCAACTCCCCTTGTCACTTGAAGCTAGAAGGGTCACAGAGGCCGGGCAGCTGTCCGCCCAGCAGACGACAATTAGAAGAGAAACAAGGGCAAAACACCTCCCTGAGCTGTCCATCTGGTTTACAACGATATGGACTGCTAAAACAAAATCTGGCACACAATGTGAAAAAAAAAACATCCATTGAAATCTCAGCCCCATAGAAAGCCTGTTCAAATCTCAATCATGTGGCAGAATGCATAATTCTGCTTTGTCCACTGGGTTTCTGTATTATTAACTGAAAAGGCCAGAAATAAGATCAAAACAAATTGTGCGACTGACACTCTAAGTCCCCATTTCACTGATAAATATGGCATTTAAGCGTCCCCTCTCATCTCGTTCTCAGAGGCCGTGAGTATTTAAGCTTTCATATAATACAAATGCCTCTGTGTAAAGTCTAGCAGTTCATGTTTGCCGTTTTTTTTACAGCGGCTAAAGTGTGCTGCTTCACATCATGAAGGAACCGCTGCTCTGTCTAAGACTCTTTCTGCCACTTTGAGAAAAAGTTTCTGAGACAAATTGGCCTGCTCGGACCAGACTCCCCACTCAGAGCGAGGTGCCGGAGTTCTCCCCTGACCATATTTTCTGTTTGCCAAACGTCTGGGAAATAAAACGCAGGGCACTGTGGACCAATTACTCACATAACAAAAATGAAAAATCACCTACCACTGTCATCAGCAATTAATTTAAGCGGCATTGGCCAAGACAGGATATGAAGAGAACAAGCAAAGATACAACTGTGGCTAATAAG